TGCCTTGGCCACGGTTAGCCTAAATGGCTGGCCACACTGTTTGGCTCTGATCGTGGGTAATACACCGAAGAAGCTTAAAATCCACTCTTTTTCCCGTCTGAAGAAATCCACGGAGAGACTGCAAAATCACCGAAACTCATCTTACTAAGCGAAACATCCTATATCTCCCCCGGGATAATAACGATTTAACGATAATTAAAGAGCCTGATTAAATATTCAACATTTCCTTGCTATGCTCGATAGAAGCTAATAGAAGCTAACAAAAGATCGGTTGGTGGATTGATTCACGATGCTCTTAAATATTAAGAGTTATTGTATTCCTATTTTATTGAACATAGTATACTGGAAAATTCAGCTTTCTACCAGGTAGCAAATGTCACGTTAGAGAGTTATATATTAATATTCGATTAAATTCGGAAATTCGATCGATATTTTCTAAATTGGTCAGGAATTGCTTAAACGACACCTGACAATTATTTGAAAATAATACCGAGATCAGCCCTGTCGACAGTGGGATAAAATCAATATTTATTATAATTAGTAATATAGTATGATAGAGTTTATACTATTTTAAATATTAGTTAACAATAGCAAATATCAAATATTGGTTAATAACACCTTGGATTAACAAACGTTTCACATATTAGTTAATATTAAATATCAAATATTACAAACTAATATAGAATATTGATTAATAATACCCCGAATCAACAATTAAGGATAAAATCAACAACTTTCATTGCCGAATACACGACGTCATAAATAATCGATAATAATTGTACGGTTAAATTTTTACCGTTTCAAATATCGTTTAACAATATGAAAAATTAATTAATGGTACCTCGGGTTACGATATACGGGCCCCATGGTTCGCCTTAAATTCAAAAGCCAACCACGCGTGCCTAAAATCCGGCAGCTTTCGAACCCACAGGCGATATCAGTAGTGCATGTACGAGTGCAGGTGTGAATGACAAAAAAAAAAGAAAAAATGAAAAAAAAAAAAAAACGAGACGGCTGGCGGGTCAATAAACGAGATTAGCTCGTCGAGGAGCGTAGGCGTGACACGCGGCTAGGATGCACACGAGGGGATGTTGGATAAATCACGGAGACCGAAGGTGGCGCCGTAAGTGGCGCGGGTCGCGCCACCGTTTAATTAGCGATTGATTAGAGATAGCAACGGAGAGATGAATGCGCCGCGAGATAACGCTGCATTCGACGCGATACGCTCGCGATCGAAATTAATACGCGTCTGTTAAATGAAACAGAGACCCGGTTCTTCCTAATACGCATCAAGACTATTAATTGAACAGACCTAGTCGCGCATCTTTCTGACACGAATCAAGTCCTGTCAGCGGAACAGATCTGAATAGACCCCTTTCTGACACGAAGCTAGAATTATCAGCATAGCAGAGTTAGTCGTGAGTTTTTCTGACAGGAACCCAGACCTATCGGCAGAAGAGACTTAGTCGTGACCGTTTTTAGCAAGAAAATCAAGTCCTGTCAGCGGAATAGACCTGGTTGCGAATCTTTTTATCACGAATCAAGTCCTGTCAGCAGAACAGACCTAGTCGCGAGTCTTCCTGACACGGATCTAGACCTATCAGCGCAACAGACCTAGTCGTCGATCCTTCTAGCTTGAATTAACTCCTATCAGCAGAACAGACCAAGTAGCGAGTTTTTCCGACACGTGTCTAGGTCTACCAGCAGAATAGACCTGGTCTCGAATGAATTGTACGGATTGCGTATGATTCAACGATTTCTCCTTCACTGTTTTCTTTTTCTACGAGAGCCATTCGCGTGAGGCCTCTGAAGAGCGTAGTTTGGATTGTATTATGAGACTGGGGCAAAAGCTAGGGCTTGACTGTTCTATTTACCGACAGAAAGGGATTGATAGGGTTGTGCAAGAATAGAAGCACTTGTGTTGATTGGCGAATGCTCCGCGAGCGGCACTGAAATTGCTCCAATTGTTTCTGCTATATTAAAGAATCTACTTTGAGCCTCTGATAAGACACTGATTTAGGATTCGCTTGAACGTTTGGGAACTATATTTTTTTTAACAAATTACGCGCAACTGGGATATTAATACCCATATCTGACGTCGCGAGGTGGGTCAACCATTGCTAACTTTACCCCAGGATCTAAATTGAGCCCTGTGGAGGTACTGAAACTCAATTTTTCACATGTTTAATTCACTGTCTTCTACGAATCAGATTCCAAAGTGTCAAGACACACGCGATATTGACGCGAAAAATGTATCACGTCAGTGAGACCTCAGGCTTGGTTAAAATGCGCGAGTGAAACGTCTGTAGAAGGGGATGCGGACTCGTTCAGACGTGTTCCTGATGAACACGTATCCCACGATCGATCTTGCAAATCGAGATGCATCAGCTGTTGCGGCACGGTTTCGTCATATGGCACGGTTATTACGCGACGCCACTTAGAAAGTTTGCGCGCTACTGGAAGAGCGACAATAGTCGGTAAATAGGACACGAGCAACGAGGAGAGTTCCGTTGGTACACGCGGAGAAACATCTGTCCGCAAAACACGAACCAATCTCGATATTGTCGCGGGTGATCGGCGCTTCGAACTCCTTCGTTCCAGCAGAAATTGTGGTTAACAGTTTGCGAATCTCTGACCACGGATGAATCGAGGAACACTGCTGATGACGATTATTTTTAGAGATTCAGGTAACGAGATGAAACGTTTCACAGAATATGCGCTACTATTTCTAGCCTCACTACAAAGTTGGAATCCTAGGGAAACTTTGTGGTGTGGAACTGAAAGTCTGAGTTAGCCAACGATACAACTATCAGATCGTCTAAAATATTGCACTATTTTGCTTGAACGAAGTGACATGTCATCATAGAGGTAATGTAAAAATACCTTATTTTTATGAGCACACGCCCCAATTTTATCAAACAACGAAAGGGTTAATCGTTCGGCGAGAAGTACCAAAGTTACGTAAGATGTGATATATTAGTGAAATACCAAGAACTACGCAGTGCTTAAAATCAACAATATTTACACACAATTCCGAAATTGCATTTCATCAGTCAGGTCAGCGGATTGAGCACAGTTTGCAAACAGGATCTTACCACGAGACTGGCGTGCTTGGCCATTGATCGGACCTGTGGAATCGATAATAAAAGAAAAAGCAGCAGCTCGAATATCCATTCGCAGGTGATGCCGTTCTCTGCCTGAGAAAGTAGTGGAACCGGTTATTCAGGAGGCGCCACGTACCGGTTCGGATTCGTTTGCATCCCATTAGGACTCGCGAACCAAAGAGCGAAACGATGAAAGACATGGTTGGCGTGGGTCAGTAGACGGGACAGGAAGGCCAGCGTGATATTCGATACGAGGGATCGCGTGCGCGGGGTGGCTGGTGCCACCCTAACGTGGCACGTGGGGCGCTACCAGGTGTTGCCTAGACGTCGGGTCGATGCGGATCGTGAGCGCATGCGCGTCACCCCCACTCCGCGCCGCTTATCCCCACCGCGAGCTCCGGCAACCCTTGCGCGGACCTTCGACCCCCACCACTCGCGCCAACATTCTCGTTTCTGGCTCCTCCACCCTCGACTTTCCCCTTTTTGCAGAATAGGGGAGATAGAGCTGCCCCCCTCGAGATCTCACCCCAACGTGTGCCAACTACCCTCCTCCCCGCCGACCCTGGTTACGTCCAACCTTCTAGAGGCTGCACCAATACCGTCAACCCGCTACCAACAAGTTCGCGTCGCGTATCGGGCGACATAGCGTCACCACTATGCACCCAATCTTCCATAGGAATTACCATCGGCCTCCCCCTTGGGAGTTTACACACTCGTCGTGACGCGAGGAACGAGGCCGGTGCCCGTGGCAGCCCGGCCAGCTGTTCTCTCTTCCGCTCTCTCCTCGATGTCTACATTCGACACGGCGGCCTCGAGCTGCGCCACCGACCACTTGCACACGCGTCCCTCGCGGACGGTTTCGGTGCTCGGTTTCTTTTTTGCTCGCCACCCGGGTTCACTAACCTCCACCATGACACACGGCTGGACTTAAACGAGCTTCCGTTCGGCTGGATTTACTGGCTGTCCGGAGGAAATTAAGCCCCGACCCAACTTCGATGAATTCGATACGTTCTAGGTGCGCTGTTCTGGGGTAGGGACAAGTCCCAATGTTGCGAACAACCGCGAGGTTGCCTAGGTTCGCTCCGAGAATTATATTAATCTAACGAGTAGACGAGATTAGAAGGGACGAATCGGGAACGGATCGCATCATTGATAGCTCTTGGTCAGACCAAACTGATTGCAGTTTGGCGAGCCAACGCTGCAGGCCACCGTGAGCATACGATTCCAGCAGACTGCCATAAATCCAAGTTTGCACAAAGTGTGCGAGCGTGCACGGGGAAGAGAGTCGCTCTGTTGGCGTATACCCTCATCGTCCGGATGCAATGGCGCTGCCCCGCGAGTTTTCCCAACTTCCCTCAAAGCCGTCTTTGCCCGTGCAACCCTAGCAGACTGTCGTATAACGCGATTGTCGCATCTGTACCCTCCATAAAAGTCTACCAGCAAGGAGTGATCCCTGGGTTATCGTCTAGTTGGCCGAAATAAAAGATGCGTTTAAAGAGCAGCGAAGCGCTGCTACGCCAATGGCGATGCACACACGCACGTTCCGCGCAAACGTGGAGGCCGCGCGCGCACACAATCAAAAGGCCTGCAGGAATCGAGAACTAGCATCGGCACCCTCGAGGGGTTGCGCAGCCATCCCTTGCTTCAGCATAAACCATCAGCAGCAGCGGCGGCAGCGGCGGCAACGACGATGCCAGCGCCGCCCCGCGATGCTGACTCAAGGGGAGCCGCAACGGAGGGACGACGGGGGTTCCCAGTTCCGTGGTGAGCAGAGCGAGAGACGGCAGCGGTCGGCAGAGTGCGACAAGGATGGAAGATAACGTAAGGTAGGGGATAAGCAGCGGAGCGGCAGCGCCACCGACTAAACAGTCGCACCCCGTCGTTGTGATCGTATTCGAGGGCACCCCCTGTCACTGGCGAGAGCCGCGACAGGGAGCGACCGAGAGAGTATCGGACAGACAGACGGACAGACGGACGGACGGACGGACAGACAGACGGTCAGTCAGTCAGTCAGTCAGTCAGTCGGTCCACTCAGTTAGCCAGCCAACGAAAGGTAGTCGTCGTGTTAGAAAAACGCAGCGCACGAGGGGACGGAAGGGCTGGACAACATATATCTGTACACACGTACACACGTATGTGTATATACATACATAGAAAGGCCGAGGAGAGGCACGCTTGGAAGAGAGGAACGGAACGCGGCTAGTGGAAAAATAAGACGGAGCGAAGGCGAAGAGGGAAGAACGAAGAGGAATACCGAGAAAAAGCAAGGAGAATCGGTAGTAGGCTTGATCCAATAGTAGTATCGTAGTTGTCTAGTGGTAGTAGAGGAGAAACGAATCCCGAGATTGTTAGTACGCGAAAGGGGTGAGGCCGGAAAAGTCGAGGAGGGTTCTCGTGCGAACAGGCTGGCATGGTGGCGGTGCATCCTACGAAGGAGCTGCCCTCGCTGTGCCGATGACGAGGTTGCAGATCACGCCCCAACGTGAGCAAGGAAGGACGAAGAGGAAGCCGCAGCAGGCACCGTCTACGGATACCTCGATCATCCGGGGAGAGGTTAACGACAGGTTACAGATACGGACGGCGCTGAGTGACGGACGGCGGCGACGGAGGCGACGGCGTCGCAACATCGACGACCACATCGTCGTGGTCGACGGCTGGTGTAACGAGGAACGCGATACCGGCAATAGTGGTGCCGGTGGCGGGCTAGGCGTCGCGCTAGTCGACGTCCTCGGGATCGTCGATCGACGTCGGTACGGTGGTGCGTTTGGTGCGGTTGGTGAGGGTGTTGGTAGTGGTGTAACAACGTCGGAGGTTTTTCGTGACAGGGATACTACGTCGGGATCATCGTCGCCGCCGCCGGGTGATCGCCACCTGGTGAACGAAACGCGAAGGGTCCGTGGCTGCAACGGCTACGGAACGGGTCAACTGCGTCAACATGCCGCGCTGCCTCATGGCCAAGAAATGGAAGGCCTACCCGTGGCCAGATCGCGTGGACGATCCACAGGAGGAACAAAACGATCCTTCGAGTATTCTGCAGGAACAGGGGAGCCATGGGATACAACAAACCTCGGCGTCCTTAGAGAAGAGGCAGCACAGGCATGAGCCGGAGGACGAGGAGATCGACGTGGTCGGGGACACGGATAGCAGACAGGTCGATCATCAGCAGACCTGTTGGGGTCCGCACAGTCCAACCGCTGGAGCCACTGCGCCTAGTCCACCGCCACTCAACGCCTCTGGTGCTCTCTATTATCATGGTAAGTAATCTTTCGTCCTATCAACGATGGTAGTTGATGAGAAAACAGGCTTCCTAGATTTCACGAGCGATATAAAATTCCACGTGTCGGATTAAAGAGAATCCTCTGGAACCTTGTTGGGGAGTTTCGGTGATACGTATACCCGCGATAACAGCTAGATCAACGCGACCCACTCTCTATTTACATCTCCTTGCCACGCCCTACATTGCCCAGATTCCATGGATTCTAATCTCGCGCGTAGCATTGCGACCGTGATGGAGAACCAGCCACCCCTGGTCACAGACTTTTACCCTCCGAAGAGAGATTGGACCCCGGAGTCTGGCCATGCGTCGAGCCACGGGGCTGACACACCCGCCGATTGGCCGATCGGCTGTGCTATAGAGAAATTGCGGTACTCTACCGCGACGACAACACGAGGCAGCCCCCCATAGGACCCGGTGCCAGAAAAATATTGCCCGGACAACGTCTCCTTCGGCTGGCTACCTCGGTTTAATGATTTTCCTCGTCTACCTCGCGATCGTGCCATGGATTCTGGCCATGCGTCGCACGCACACCTACACCTACGGGTCGCACGTGTGCACACACATGCAGACACACACTCACGCGTTCAGCGACACACCCGCCAGGCCGATCGTTGATTCTACTGCGGATCTTTGGGTGGATCGAAGCAAAAGGGGAGGAATGATTCCGCTTTCTCGCACTACCTCTCGTCCCATTTGGGTCACGTTCCTTTTACGAACAAAGCGTCCGGCGGACTTTTTTTCTGCAACCGCTTTTTCTCTTGTCTCCCTAACTTATCTTCGCGACAAACGGGGACACAGGATTTCGGGAAATCACGTACCGATTCGCCCTGCGTCTCTCTGTTTTGGACACCACTCTGCGAGGACACCGCTGCGCTAGATCCGGCACCCCAACAGACTCTCCTTGGGTTATTTCTTCTACACGTCAATGAAGATCCACGGAAACACTCGTGCATACTGTTGCTTCGAAGACACGTCTCGTAAAGAGGTCAGAAAGCTGACTTTTAATCGTGGCTTTCATAGACAAAGTCGGAAATCCCCTGACCCGCAATTTGGGCTCGGGTTTCTGCACATCCTGGTATTTACAATTCCCTCAAAGCCTAGGTTCGTTAGTTACTTCGAGACGTCTGCGATATTTCAGAATCACCACTTCCCTCGAAGGCATTGTTCCCTCGAAGCATAATGCACGCAATTAACGGCTCGAAGCTGCTGCCATCCCGAGGCTGCCTTCTTCGAGAACGCAATTTCTCGAAACAATACGCGTTTTAGCCCGGCAACTTGCACAACGAGAAGATCAGCAGCGGCTGGAGTACATGTTGAATGCATTCCACAAGTTGACTCGCGTTGCACAGGTACAAAAATCATGCGTGACCCCTCCGTCTGTTGGACCTAGACCCCTCTGGTAATCGCATTTTGGTTGTTCGTCGTTGCCTAACCGAGTTACACCTCTTCCACCTTATTTCACCCCTTTTCGGTAATCGGGTGCGCCGATTGGTGGCGAAAAATTTCCGCGAAAGCAGCTATTAATTGAATTCCGTTATCGATTGTAACGACCGCCGGGTCTTTAACATGGCGCGAAGCGTTACGTAACACGTGTGCCACCACGACGGCGTGGTCGTGGCTCAACGTGGAATTTATGAACAGCGAAACAAGCGTCGTTTAACGTTCTTATCGCGAAATTTGCATACCGTTAAACGAGTCCTCCTGTTCGGTTCACATTTTCCGATACCACGTCGCACGGGATTTCCGTAAATACTTTGGCAGCAGGCTGGAAGGAGCATCCGCGAGTGGTTGGACGGATTATCAAGGATTCGTGGAAGAATTTCTCACCCTCCATTCTAGCGATCGTTGAACGCGACCTTGCCAGATGAGAATTCAGGTCGAAAATATGTAAGAACGACGTGGCATCGATTAAACGGCTTCCTTTTGCTGTGACTTCGACACACGAATAAACGTGGCGCATTTTCTTCGCGGTCACGTAATGCCCCATTGTAGGGGCTCCTTTTCGCGCCTCACGTCCTATCAGCCACGCTGACTTCGAGCTCTGCGTGTCCTGATTCGTTAAGAACAACGTCCTAGATCATCCACGCTTATAGACACCCAGATTTCATATAAAGATTGCTACTGGACTATCTCGAGGTACATTTATTCATTATCAGAGACCTGACTACGCTACCAATCGAGGAAGTACACTTGGGTTTGAGAAATACAGAGATTCTTCTGAGGGATCTAGTAATACCTAGACCTAGACTCAAGGAATACACAATTTTCCTAGACATGGTCTAACTGAAAGCCCTCTATGCTCCATGTAGGTATCTATTTTTCATCATTGAGCGGATGAAAAATAGAAGAGCACTTGGACCGAAGGGATGAATTTCCGAAACGTCGGGTGCAGATTTTGGGAGTCATCAGGCGGCGCCCCGAATCCGTGTTAGCGGATACGCTAATTGCCAGCTTCATTATCGCGGCTCGCATAGCGGCCGCTCGACAGCCACTGCGGCTCTTGTTGCGCAAACGCGCGTCACATAGGGTTTTTCGTCGCAGTGAACGAACCTCGAATCTTCTCCCAGCTACTCTCCATCAAAGCGCTACGAACCATCCACCTTGCGGGGGATCATGGACGTCTGGCGAGGCCCCTTTGGACTGCCTGTTTCGGAGTTTTTAACCGACGCGAGAGCAATTCTGATAGCGCAGTTTGCACGGCTGGGTCGAAACGATTGGCGAATAACAATAGGGAAAAGGACCTTACGTGGCCCTTTGAAAGGCTGGAATCAACAGACTCGTGGGAGCGTGCGAAGCGTTCATTCGACATTATTGATTCTCACCCTCTCCTCTGGCCCCTCTGTCGCTCCTTCACCCCCGCCCTCTTCCACTCACGCTCTCTGTCTCTCCCTAGCGCCGTTGATGAAATGCACTTCCAGACACGACCACTCTTCTTTCTCTCCCTCGCCCTCTCTTTCTCCCTGTATATGTACATGTGCACGTACGTGCCTATGTATGCGCGCGCGTGTGTTGACTTCCTTTTATTTCAGCCAATAATAGATGCGCGCCGGTTGATCGATCGTCGGCCACGGTTTTCTGATTTATTGCTGTCACGCCCGCCTCTCGCCCCTCTGACAGCCCCACAAGGAAATAGACCCCCTACGATTCGTCAAAGTGCTCCTCTCTTTATTCGCCTTCTTTCCAGAATCCAGAGATTCACGCGCCAATGGAGACTCTCCTGTTAATCCCGAGGACACAGTCTCTCTTCCCGAACCTGCATGCATATCACGGTCCACCTCGTCTTAGAGCGATCTATGAGGGATCTAGGGTTCGGCGAAGCAGATTCGGATGGGAGTGGCTCGAAACAGCCGAGTTGTCCGACTGATTGATGCTAATTAGTCGTAGGGTGATCGCGTAATTAACGACGGTGCTTTGCAGAGGACGATCATCGCGCCAGGGTGGCGCTCGCGCGGAAGGATCGGGTCAGCGTAGGAAGGGGATGAATCCGCGATGCGAATGGAATTACGAAAGCGCCAAAGTTCCTCTGTTCCCCGCGGAGTCTCGAGGCTTCGCTCCAGAGAGACAGAGAGAATCGATTTCGAAAATCCGCTGAGTACGCGCGTAGAACCACCCACCCTCTCCGCGCGGATTAACGGTTTTAAGGATTGACGCTCCACGACTTTCGACGAGGGAACGGGGTCAACACTTTCCGCGATTTGTTGCTTTCCCGGAATAAGCTTCTATTTCGCCAAGACTGCATCCAGTTTTCCGGACTTTGCACTGCAACTATCTGATCCCTATATCTAACTATAGTTTGCACGATATTAATTAAAATATGATGAATATAAATAATATAATAAATATTAACAATTGTGGAAATAAGAAGATTGGGATCAGTTAAAATGGATGGTTGGACAGTTACCTAGGAACTTCGCGAGCCTAGGGATCCCTAGTTCCTGGATATATGCTGGTTCGATACAGCACCGTTCCCAAGTATTGAGTCATTATTTAATCACGATAATATCAAGTCGTTCAGGATAGTTTCTACAGATTTACTCCACAAAGGAACCAATTTTACCTATGTTGGAGTTTTATCGATCATCAATTACACATAACTACTGATCTTTTCAAAAATTTATAAGATTATCGAAACACTCCCGAGTCATCTATGTATCGTTCGATATTAATTCTAGTAATCTTAGGATTTTAGGTTAGGTTGTACACAGGTTTGTACAAACTTGATCGCAACAAGTGTCGTTCACAGCCACACTGATCCTAACCTTAATATCAGACTAATTACTATCCTGAAAGAATCTACAAACCCAATGAAACTATTACTATCCTCAACATGCTCAAACACGTTCAGTGAATCTGCAACTTCCGATCTCCCAAGTAGACCCAAACCAACGCAAACATCTCGAAACCGAGTCCAGGCGGCGAAACGAATTTACATGGCACAATCGACGAGCATGTTGCATCGATTGCAACCTGGTAGGCCGATCGATAAGCGTTGCTGCCAGAAAACAACACGAATTTCCGTGTCGTTCCATGCAAACGCACACGAGCACACGATGAGCGAGAGCGAAAAAGGGAGACGGCGTACGGCTCTGGAAAGGAGCGCAGCTGACGCGACACGGACAGAGGGTGGTGACGTGGTCGGCAATTTCTGCACCCCGTGTTCAGGCCCCGTTCGCAACAATGCGAATGTCGCGTTACATTGTCGCAGAGGCCGTATCGATCGTGTCCGATGGAAGGCAACGAGGCATCGAAGGCTAACTGTCGCGTGTCCTGTCGCGTGGACACCGGCAATAAATGGAAGGGCCAACCGTTTAATCGTTTCGTTGCACATTGCTAGCAACTCTTTCGAAAGCGTTCGGGTCTAGATATAGTTTAGAACCGGGAGTCTGACGAGGTTCTGGAGGATATTGCAAGTTGTTGATTGACGACTTGGGAGAGAACAGAGGGAACGTTTTAATGGTCGTAGTTGCGAACGCAGTTCGGTGGATGGAACTGGTTGGAAACAACGTTGTTCGAGGTTGTTTCAACGATGGCTGTCGGTGCTCTTAGTGGGGGAAATAATATTATTTTTAACGGGAATATCGAGTATTTCCACGGCTCGCTGGTGGGAAGGGTATTTCGACAGGGTATCGATTGGCCGCGTTAATGACTCCGACCATAGTGAATCATTAATAAATGCTGAATATTTTCGTAGGTTAACAATTACGCTGATTTATTGAATAAACTTGAGGAATAAAAATTTGCTCGGATCAATAAAGAGACAAAGAAAGATTATAATTTATCACAAGTTTCTCGAATCTTAGCAAAATTAATACAAATTTTGAAAATTTCGACATGCGAGGTTTTCCTAAATATTACAAAATAGAGAGACTGTCCACTATAACGGGGAACAAAAATTATTGAAACTTTAACGAACTACCACTTCAAAAATATTTAAAAAGTATAAAAATATAGGCACCTAACCAAAAAATATAAAAAATATAAAAAAGTATACAGTCTACGAAAAGGACGAACAAAACTTTCTTGAATTTCAACAAACTACCAGTCGGAAAATATTTAAAAAATATATAAAAAATAAATACCTAACGTAAACCATAACAATGTCTACAAAAAATATAAAAATATAAAAAGTAGATATACAGTCCACTAAAATAACAAACAAAAATTGTCTAAACTTCAGCAAACTACCATTCTAAAAATATTTTAAAAATATACAAAAAATGGATACCTAACCCAAACCTTAATATTTACAAAAATATCAAAAATATAAAATAGAAGAAATATGCCTGCGATTATGAAAGTGGTCTAAGTCACTTATATTTATATTTGCTTCTGAAATATTAAAAGCTTCGGCCTTTAAATACGTGACAAATTATAAAATTAATTGCGATAAAGCTACAAACTCAATCTAACGATTCAATTCTTCACTGTTTTGTAGAAAATAAATATATTTTATCGTAATATAAATGAGTGCAACACGAAATAAATAATAAAATCGTCCCTCTTAAGTCGATGACTTAGACCACTTTCATAATTATAGGCAGATGTATAGTCCACCAAATCGACAAGCAAAAATTTCTTAAACTTCATCGAACCAAGGAAATTATTTGAAAGAAGAATAAGGAAGCAGATGGATAGACAAAAATCCTAATAAAACATCCTAAACCTAATAAAAATCATAATATGTAATAACAGATATAACATAACAAGAAAATTGTCGAAAATCGTCAGAAAATTTGAGAAAATACTCCAATTCCGACTGAACGAACCAACGAAATTATTAAAAAGAAGAATAAGGAAGCAGATGGACAGACAAAAATCCTAATAAAACATCCTAATCCTAATAAAAATCCTAAAAAATCTTAATAAAAATCCTAATAAAACTCCTAATAAAACAGGTATAACATAACAAGAAAATTGTCGCAAGTCGTCAGAAAGTGCGAGAAAATACCCCAATTCCGACTGAACAGTGAAAATGAAGACCCACGTGAAGCGGAGTGCCTTTTTCACCATGCACGCAACAGATACCCCATGCTACGTAATACACAGCACCTCGACGCCCTCTCCTTCGCGTCCGTCGTTTTCTCGTTAACAATCGCACATGCTGGGACCAGCTGACGCGTGCCAGCAACAGGAAATGAAATGGCGCACCGGTTCCGTGTGATTCACGAATTCAAATATTCATAGCGAGAGACAGAAGGGTGGCGCGCGCGAGCGCGCCGGCTGGCACCGATGTACGTCCAAGAGAAAAAGGAAAAGGAAAAAAGGAAAAAATTAAAAGCAGAGAGAACCGTTGCGTTATCGGTGCCCTTTAATTTTCGTCGCCAACGCGTCTCGTTCCAGCCGAGAAAATCCTTCGGGGATAATTAAAGGCTGTCATTTCGCGACCCCCCGTCATATCGCATCCGTCGATCTTCGAAGTGCGACCGTGTGAATCGAAAAACCTCGTGGCGTTTAATTTTCGAGCAGGAAACCGTTTCCAATAATCGTGCTCCGCAGAAATGGCCGAATTAAAAGGAACCATTCCGTGGATAGAGGAGGAGCATAGTTGCACGCAGAAAATTTGAATACCAGGGGATGAAATTTAGGGGGACTCTGGGTAAGGGCGGGGCGCAACTCGGAAACACTGGAATCCAAAATTTTGTGGGAGTTTTCCGAGTCCTCAAATTTTTTAATTTCCAAATTTCCTAATTTTCATATTAACACTCTGCACTCAGTCGCCATTTAATCAGATTCTAAAGATAGATGTTAATTAATATATCAAATTTACAATCATCCAACGATGCGTGCAATATTGAAGTAAAATAATTCCACGTCTTAATTTGCATACGATTTCGTATTTACCGTTTTAAAAATATCGTCGACTTTATGGCAGAAAGTTTTCGAGTTACTATTTTCCTGCAACGAAAAATTCACCAAGTACAAAGGGTTAAAATTTTCGATTTATTTGATTTTATCGTGCGAGTAGAATTTTTTGTTTTAATTAAAGTCCCTGTATATATTTTCGTTCACCATAGTTAAATATTTAAAATCACAACCATGTAATGAAAAATATCTATTTTCAAAATTTTTATTTCAGAATTCTCGAGTTCTCAAAATAATTCTATATTTTAAATACGATATTTTTATATAAGCCAAAGTCCCTCTTAGACTCTTATATAAATCTAAATATAGTGAAACACGTAATTCATGTACCTATTTAAAAATAGCAATATTTAAACTGTTCCTAACCTAATCTATTTTCTTCTCTATCAAGCATACCAGTCGATGTACTGAAAAACCTTTGAAAAAATATACCAACAACGCGAAATATATTTTTCTTTTATTGAAACTCAACAATTCCTCCCATCCGAGATATTCCAGTGCATCAAAGATTCCAAGAAATCCATCCCTAGTTTCGAAGATACAAGAGTACCTCGTATGTTCATTCAAACATTCCACTTCCTTTATGGAAAAAGATTATTTTATTTTATTTTTTTATTTTTTATGGAAATATTTCAACAATACATGGTTTGTTGAGGGATTTAACCGGTTGCAACTAGAAAGGGTGAAAGGAGTTCGTTGAACCCCCCGGACAGCGGGTACGAGCTTCGATCGCATGAATTTCGAGACGCGAAACCTTCAATTTGCATTATTCATTAGCAGTACCTAATCAGCTTCGAATCCCCCATTAAGTTTGATTGAGCGTGTATCCCTCATTACTTAATATTCCGTGTTAATTTTAGCCCCGACAGTGACTGAGCCAATTCGTTAACTGTACCAACAGGACGAAATTGATAATTTCGATCGATAATCCGCTATCGATAATTCGCATTACGATAATCCTGTTCGACCTAAATAGCGAGATGCGAACGAACGAATTGCCAGCGTTGTTTATCAGCCTTTAAATAAGCCAATGAAAAACGGGCATTTCGTAACGTAAATGCGAACGTGTATATTAAATTGGATGGAACGTACGAGGTGCGGAGGAGGACGAGGAGGATGAGGAGGAACGGAGATAGTGACTGATATATGGGGCTCGCGCAGATAAGAATAATTGCCTATACAGATTACCGAACACGGATTCGATCCCGGAATCTATTTCTCAAACCACTCCTGCGTCTTCCAATCTACGTAAGCCGTACACAAGATCCCCTATTCTAATCCTAACATCCTAGTGCATGCGCTATACATGCTGTGGTAGTCTCAATTAATAATAGAACACGCCTTGGTACGTGTAGTACCAAGCAAAGCACTATACCGAATTAAATGATTCAGTGGTGCAACAGTCTTCGAATATTACATATTATAAACCTACAAGGCTTCCCATCTTACAAGATAATCTCACGGTAGATTCAAAGAGACGTTAGACACAAAAGTATCGAAATCATAAATTTTATTTATAAAAAGGTTAGTGTCAATTAAGTCACTATTTATTGCCAAAATTTAAAAAATTGTAGTTGATTACTGTATTCTGTGAGAGGAATATTTAATATCGTATTATACCACTGAATAAAATTGAGGAAATAATACTAGAGACCACCACCTGACTATTCAAATAGAATCTTCAGTAACTGGGGAAACACAGTTGAAAGCAGTGACTGTGACGAGAATACAGAGTACTCAGCGAGATACTTTTGTGCCCAACTGTACTTCAAGCCTCAGTATCGATCCGTCGCGTAATTCGTTGGGAAAGGCTGAATCTACAACTTGCATTGCACGATTAAAATCTGCAGACCTTAGCCATCGACGACCAATCGCATAACTGATCCGCAGGTTACACGCACGAGTCGTGGATCAACCACGAAGAGCCGCCGAAATACGCGACGCTGCGCTCGGCAGCGGAGCTGGCCAGACCGGTGGTACCGTCGCCACCGCCTCCAGCCGCGCCGCAAGAGCTGGCCCCGGTGGTGACCGGGTCCAGCCTGCACCAACCACACCCAGCGCCAACGACAACCCCGTCGTCGTCGTCCACGTCGCTGAGCCTACCGCCTAGGAAGAGCCTCTCGATGTGCTTCACCAGCACCGGGACGGCGCTGTCGTTGCCGCCGAAGAAGAAGGACATCTACCGGCCCTACAGCCTCCAGCCCACGTCGGAGATCCGCACGTCGGCTGAGGAAGACCTGTCTGCCGCGCAGGCGATCCTTGATCTCAGCGCGTCCCCGGCTGCGCCCACGCACTCGGTCTTCATTCACACGTTATCGCCACCGCCGCCACCACCGCCGCCTCCAACGGCGCCAGGCGTCGCGGCGACCGGCCAGCTGCAGCCGGCACAGTTGCAGCCGGCACCTACCGCGCAGCCCATTCCCGTCTCGGTCCTGGTGCCTGTGCCTAGCTCGCAGACTAGCCAGCTGCGACAACAGGAACAGACGCCGCAGCCACAGTCACCGGCCACAGCGGAGGCCAACGCGAGCAACTGTACCGCCGGAAGAGATGGGTGAGTATCCTCAACTGGGGTTAGGAGGCCACGAACCGTTATGACAGAGAGTAGATGGTTCATCCACTGAGTTCCCTTGGTATATGTTCATCGGGGTGGGTGGATGCGGATGTAGATGTAAATGTCGATGGGATGGATGACTGTGCAAGTCGCAATGTCGCAGTGTGCTTTTCTGTATGCGATGGTATATGCATCCCTCGTTGGAGTGTCACGTTGGGGTTCTGGTTAGCGTGACCGGGGCAAGTCGTATTTGCGGGTTAGGTGTTCTTTCCTTGAATCTGTCGCATGAATCTCGCTTGAGTGTTACTCGTTGCCTGTGACAAACCCTGTACACCAACCTGGAGGTTCTACCATCCGAACCCAACCCGTGACAGACGCGATCCCAACTATGAATCACGGTATTCTCGATTGATCGACAGCACCAGCAGTAGCAGCAAGACAGTGGCCTACACGTACGAGGCGTTCTTCGTCTCGGACGGCAGGTCGAAGCGTCGTAGCACGAATACGAACGGCGCTGCAGTGCCGGACAAGGAGGCTGCTCAGCCGGACAGGCCAAAGTTCACGTGCACGGAGTGCGGCAAGCAGTACGCCACCTCGTCCAACCTGTCCCGGCACAAGCAGACCCACCGTAGCCTGGACTCTCAGTCCGCGAAGAAGTGCATCCACTGTGGCAAGGCATACGTGAGCATGCCTGCGCTGGCTATGCACGTGCTGACCCACAAGCTGGCCCACAGCTGCGGCGTCTGTGGCAAGATGTTCTCCAGGCCTTGGCTGCTACAAGGTCACCTGAGAAGTCACACGGGCGAGAAGCCTTATGGGTGCGCGCATTGCGGCAAAGCGTTCGCCGATCGCTCAAATCTGCGCGCCCATATGCAGACTCACTCCGCGGACAAGAACTACGAGTGCTCCAGATGCCACAAGACCTTCGCCCTCAAGTCCTACCTGAACAAGCACCTGGAGTCTGCCTGTCTGCGCGACGACGAGATGCCGCCGCAGCAGCAACAGCAGCAAACCGGCGCCGCGAACGGTGGCAATAACGCGACGACGCAACACCAGCAGAGCAACAATCGAGGTTTGTAGCAGCGTTCCGACGAGAGCAAGACGACGACCAGGCGCCCCGACGACCTAGGGACCGCGGCTAGGGAGAGCTAGCGGTCGTTCCCAGCGACGCCCGGCTAACCGGGCAGTGAGCGAGATCGATGGGAGAACGTAGGCGGGGATGAAGAGAGGCGAGGGAGAGAAAGAGAGCGAGAGAGAGAGAGAGGGAGCGAATGAAGTAAAGGTTTGCCGTAGGTTTTAAGTAGAAAAGTGCCAGTAGACAAAATGGAGGATAATAGAGAGAAGTAACCGAATGGTAGAAATGGTAGAGGGGAAGAGATGTGGGAGGGTGGAAAGGAGAGAGATAGTGGGAGGTGTCGGTTTCTTAAATAATGTCTAACATTAATAAAAACGTCCAATAATGTTAAGTCTTAAAACGAGCAGAAAGAGAAAAAGCGAAAAACGGGGGAAAAAGGAAGAAAAGAAATTCACTGACGAAACGACGAAAGAAATAAAGAGGGAAGGATAAACGAGATGAGGGTAAAGACAAAGAAGCGAAGAGAAGAGGAAAGAAGAGAAATAAAAACACGTCGAACGGTGACGTCCACACTGCAGTCTAGTCACTCTAGTCGATTATACCTAATACATTATGATATTATATTATTATATTATATATTATATTATATTATTATATATATAGTATATTTACTAGCGCGTACGGTTCTAGTCGCGAGCTCGTTACGGAGACACACTATTTATTGATACTTAGCTGCCTAAATGAGATAACGTGGGAAATGAAATTCCCCGAGGATTAAGGAAAACCACACACGTACACACTATACGCGAAACGGGGGACACGCGCCGCGAATCATGAGCAACGATAACGATCAAGGTCGCAACAAGGATAGATCCGACGCGATAACGACTACGCTAAGAAGCTCGACTTAACCACGAGCTAACGAGATTTCCGGCCGGTTTCCGATTCTTCCTCCCCCCGACCCCTCCCCCTTCGCCGCGAACCCCGCGAGACCATGCATCGACGCTCGTCCTAGGCGTCCTCACGCCAAACGTGGCAGTTTTGCGGGAATCGAATCGTGTCCAGAGATCGATCCTCCGCTCGTTGGAACGCACACCCGTGACCAGGCGACTCTGCTCCTTCCGGAAGTCCTCGAGCACCGGATCGAACCTCGAGACGATCCATCCCCTCCCATGTTCCTTTTTTTTCAATCGCCCCTTCGAAGTGTGGTCAGACCACATCGCTCGACCTGAGGTCGATCCACGGATGATCGATACTCTCGATGGAGGCGCCGGTGCAGGCCTGCAACCGTTCCACGAGGAAACGTTGCGCACGAACCGTTCGTGTAACGTGCCCTGAACTTTGATCACGTGGTCCGCCCGATCTCTTGGCGATTTCTCGATCGCTATACCGACGATGGAAATATTCGGTGCATCGCGATCGAATAAGACGAGTGAATCCGTTCGGGGTAGCAAAATTTCGCATTTGTTCGTTGGCGAAAATTAGTACAAAGCTCGAAACAGAAGATTATACACGGTACTGTTTAGAGAAGCACATTCGTATATACTTTTGGAGACCATGAGTGCGGACCTCGAAAGAACAAGTCCATTTCGATTAACTTTAGACGTATATTTTGTTTCAGTAACGAGAAGGTAGAAGACATTTCCGTTTCACGTTTCAAAATAAGTTTCTTACGTGTTTCTTGTATCGAATACTATTAAAGAGCGAGGTCTCGACGTCAAATGACGTACAAATACGTAATTGTCCCCGGTGATCCACAAGTGAAACGCGTATTAAGCTACGAAGAACAGTGGCAGAGGCCGAATGTTTCCAATGTCCGCCATGTTTATCGCGAGCAACGCGATGCCATCTACCGCCACTCGCGCGAAGCTTGATCCCCGTGAGCAGTCCACGGAACTCTTAACCTACTCGAATATTCAACCCCGTCAGTCGTCTCGTCGCTATTTTTACCTCGCAAAGAGAAACGCGGACGTCCCGTGACTAAAAAAAGGGAAGAAAAAATAGAGAAAAGAGCGGAGAAGGAGGAGATAGTGCGTTGGGCGGTGATGCGTGGCATAGAACGTGTTAACGACACGTGGATATCGATCGAATCGCCTCGAGGTCGTGGTGTTTGCAATATTCCCAACGTGTTCACGGTTCTCTTAAGCCACGTTACACGATCGGCTATATACGAGCTCGGATGCAAGATACACGCTCGTACATACACACATAGGCACACGTACACGTACACGAGTATACATAGGAACACAGAGACACGAAGCGCGTTACACGTAATATCTAGTGCAGACTCGAGTAATAGATGCGTAACATTGTTATACACATATTTTATAGAAGCAATATAACGAGTAAGGGAAAAAAAATAAAATAAAAAGCAATAATGACGACGCGTAAAAGGTCAAAAGCAATGTTTCGACACAACGAATTATATAATTATACATATAGAGGCAAACATCGAAGTTTAACGTGATGGAAAACGATGGTTTGCTTCGGCATCGAACTTCTTCGATCGTCTGCCCCCCTCCAAACCACGCTCTTCATTCCGGCCCTCGCGGTCAGAGTTCGAAATTCCCACCAAATCCGTGGCGCCGGATTTCGCCACTCGACAGATCCGTCGTTTTCTCCACCTTTTCAACGCAAGCAATACTTTTCTCCCGTTTCAACAAACGTTTCAACGAACATGTCGCTCGTACTTAGAACCTGATCAAAGTAATGAAACGATCGTCCCGCCCTCATCGGGCTCAATTAGCTTTACGATATTTTTCGAACACAGCCAGCGACTGTGTAAGCTTCGTGCAACGAATGGAACACCGATCTTACGATTAGTCTTAAAATTCCTTTTCACGCGTAATTTACACGACGAACAACGACTTTTGCCCCCAGTGAGGTTAGAGGTTAGCGGATCGTATAAAATTCTATTCGCCATTCGGATTCTGTACATCGAAATTCGGACGGTATATTATCGTGGATCTTCCCAGCTACGTTTTATAGAAAAAAGAAAAAAAAATGGAAAAGAAAAAGAAGGATGTATATGTACATATATATTTATATATTTCGAGACAACGAAGAGGGAGTGACAGCGAAATCCGGCCAGAAAAATCCGACCTCAGCTTCATTCGACCAACTTCTACTCCGAAAGCAACGATTACAAGCGCGCCGAATTATTCCCGTGAGTATAAAAAGGGGATGAAAAAGGGGCACACAGGGGAGAAAAAGGAAATACACGCGAAAATACGATCGCGAGGGAACAAAGAAGAGCGTGGATCAGTGCCAGCTCGGGCAGAGCTGGCGCGACGATCCAACGAGTCCTTTTGTAATAATTATTGCCGACAAATAATTACCGCGTTGCATGTACAGAGTAGCCGACCTCACCGCCAAAACTCAGTAAAAAGATGGAAAAATGACAAAAAAAAGAAAAAAAAAGTAATAATAACCGCGAGTGAAAAAGGAGAAACGAAGCACCGGCGAACAGAACACACACGTCTTTGTACCATACGTTGTTTCCTTGCGCGCAAGTGCGATCGATCGTTGGATTCCTGGCACGGGGGATCCGAGGATCCTTCGGGGCGCGATCCGAACGATCGGGCAGGCGAGAATATCGATCGGACCCGCTTCTCTAGCCCCCACCCACCGCCACCTTTTTCACTAGGCGACGATTCTTTCTCGCGAGTTTCCCCCAGGAGCCGTGCACCGCGTGCGATCACCGCGAATCGACACGCACGCACCAACGTAGAGCAATAAACCCTAAGCAATACTAAAAATTAACGAGTTAGTTAAACGAGGAAAGGAAAATTAGCGGAGTCGGTTCGGTTAGAGAGCAGAGGCATTTTAACGAGAAAAAAATAAGATAAATTAACGAAAACAAAGGGAAATGAATACATAAATAAATAAATAAATAAAGGGCACCGTTTGACGCGTGTTTGTTGATTTGGTCGATCGAAACGGAAGATATGCATGAAAATGGGAGAAAGAAAAAAAATTAGAGGAAAAATGAGGACGAAAAAATTCTTCCATTTTGTTTTCGATCGAGGAATCCCTGACCACCGGCACTAATCGCGTCTCGAGTTTTAGTCAACGATTTTATTGTTCTCGATTACGTATAGTGTTTATTTTTTGCGAATTGTTGTCAATATTATTATTATTATTATTATTATTATTATTATTATTATTATTAAAAAAATTATTATTATTAATATCGTGTACTTTATTTATCCTTATATTAATTGTACCCTATTACGTTGCTGTTGTTATTGTTACCACACTTGATGTGTTACTTGTACATTGCCCGTTCTATCGTCACAATCATTCCATAGCGATTATCATTACACATTATTGCCAATACAACGATTAGGTACAACGATCGGTAGCGTCGAAATGCGTTGCTCAACGGAGACGCTTTTCTTTCTCACTCTTGTATACCCGGGACCGTCAGCGAGAACGGCAATATGGCGGCGCGCTCGACGCGCCATCTGCTAGACTCGCGAGTACTCGTTAGTCCACCAGTAATCGAACTTGTGGAGCGTGGAGATCGTACGGAACCCGTAGAATCGTGAATCGTAGAAGGTTCTAGCGAGGAGCCTGATCCGCGGTGGCTTCATTTCGCGGTCATTCTTAGTACATTAGTAATTCCAAGCAGCTAGTAGAAAGTATTTTTGTATTCGGTTCGTGGCGCTAGGGAGATATTTTGTAGTAACAGAGGGCGCTGTAGCTGCGTTTCTAGCGATAAGCTTGAATTACTTTCTATAACCATAACGATAGCTGTAAGGTTAGGAAAAGGTATAGAAACGGTGACGAGATTCTGTTCCATGAGTTCCGACAACGAATCTGTTCTAGGATTAAACCACACAAGATTGTACAGAAATAAATATTTTTCTTTTTTTCTACTTTCTTTTCGATTAATTTTTTGTTCGTTTTTTTTTCTTTTTTTTTTTTCTTTCGAGGGTACTTGGGCGATTAAAACAAACCGAAATCGGCTGACCTCCAATTAGACCGGTTAGGGGGGGAAAAATTGGATGGCGGATGCAAATATTCGGAGAGAAGGCATCGGCCGGACTGCCGAGTTCGTTACTGGAAATTGCACCGGTTCGTTAGAGAAGTCTCACGGACAATTAAACTATTTTAATTGACCAACCAGCGAGACCATTTCACGTTTGTCGTAACTCCACTGCGTTATTAACGGCCGAAAGCGATTCTCGAACTAATTAAGAGTTCTTTCCGCCATGCCGTGGAACATTCAGCCTATGTTTTCCCTTATTAACTACCGTCGAGAGAAATAATCGTTAATCTGTCTCTTTTCGCCAAGAGGACCACTTGCTCTCTGCAAAAATACTCGAATCGCTACTCGAAAGCTGCAATTGATGAACTTTTCTTTCTCTTTTCCTCACTTCGTAAAAACATGGTTTTTCGCGAAAATATTTCAGGATCTCTCTGAATTATCGCGAAGAAAATTATGAAGAAGTTAACAAATTCCAGGCTATAGAATTTCACGATCCTCGAAGAAGTTTCCGCTTGGATGCATTCTTGCCCCAGCGAGAACACCACGAAACCGGAAGCGGCGCCTAATGGTCAAACGCGCTTCAATTAACGGTTCTAACGATTAGTTATAGCTTGCACAACAGTATTTTTCATATCGATCCCGCGAGGATCATGCGAACGAAGAGAGACGAGCACTTTTGTCACACCTGTGTCCAGTCGCGCATTGATATTCGATTATTTTTCGAAAATTGCGATTTAATGACGTAAAAAAGAAAAAAAGAAGAACGAATTCAACGAATTTGAGGTTAGATATAGATTTATAGAAACGACAACACCGTTCTGGCAAAAGTAGCAGTTTTCCTTGGCAACCATCTTTTTTTCTAAAAAGACTTCGCTCGTCTTATCCAATTAAAGTGAAGCGCGCGTATCTCTTAGATAATATATTCTGTACATACGTACGTATATATCTATACATTACGTAAATATATATATATACACACACGCATATATATACATACATCAAGATTTCCTAAGCTACATTTAAGGAAAACATTTACACGTACGCACGAACACACAACTACGTAATTAGCTAACTCTATCATATAACTCTGTAATTCGTAATTAGTCTAATCTTCCTCTAGTCAAGGCGAACGCACTTTACGTTCGCTTATCTACTAATCACTTTTCGCTTTTAACACTGTTGGCGCTGCAGCAAGCCAGCGCCATCTGCTTGATTGGCTGGAACAGCAATGGCCCATCAATTGGCCAATTTCGTGCAATACTTATATTATGGATTATATTCCGATACAAAGTGCGGAATAACAATGAAACTACTATAAATGAAAATCCTCTATGTTATATATGCTTCAAGGTTATGATACG